GGATCTCATGGTCGCCCACACTGTGGTTCTAGATCTGAGTAGCGAGAGTCCAGCAACACAGGATATCATGGTCGCCCACACCGTGGTTCTAGATGTGTGAAGCGAGAGTCCAGCCCCACGGGATATCATGGTCGCCCACACTGTGGTTCTAGATCTGAGTAGCGAGAGTCCAGCAACACAGGATCTCATGGTTGCCCCAACCTGTGGTTCTAGATCTGAGAAGCGAGTGTCCGTCAACACAGGATATCATGGTCGCCCACACGATGGTTCTAGATGTGTGAAGCGAGTGTCCGTCAACACAGGATCTCATGGTCGCACATTTTTGTAAATGGTACTTCTAAATTTTTGAATAACTACTGTAATATAATACCGAACAATTGGTTTGGGGTAGTCCGACTGAAAGACTGTTATTCGAGGTTTCAAAGACATGCAGCCTTGACGATATTGCAACCCGACGTCACTTTTGCAAAAGAAACTTCTTTATTACAATTAGGAGCGACGTTTCGGTGTAGGTTCCATCACCGTTCGTGCTTCGTTGATAAAGCAATCGTATATACATTAATATGTCGTGTAAGTAATCAGAAACAATCTCACAATCTGAGCACTGTTATTTGATTTTATATTTTTCAATGTAACCAAGAGAATTCGTCAGAAATGCAGATAACTATCGTCGTCGTTATGTGTGATTTTGCGTCAGTCCTGGTGTCGCACAGGACGGAAACATTTACGATATCTGTTGACATTACCTGATCATTGTAATGTATATATTTGTTATTCCATAATTCGTGGTACGATACTCTTCCCACGTATATTTTCAAACACGTTTGTCAATGTATGCAACAATTACACGAATGGATTTCTCAAAATTGGAGAAAATGCTACACAGTGTAAATGCTATCTGAATTGTGTTTTGTGTACAATTAAAAAAAGTACAGGTTTCCTAGCACAGCACTCCACACCTAATTTATTTTGCTTGATTTAATTGAAATAATTTGTTTTGATGACAAAGACCATTTATCATTTGATTCTAAAATGTACGCGGAATTCAGGGATGTATGTACTGCGTCTGACTTTGAAATATACGTGATAAAATAGGCGTCTCATAACCGGCATGCGTGTTACGTGATTTCGTGAACACTATCCAATACATGGATGTCGGAAAGTCCACTTCGGCCTTGTGTTTGCGTAATTTCTAAAACATTCTAAACGATTCTAGGCTTTTCATTAGTGCTTTGATGAAAAACAGATACCGGGGATCACTAATATGCTATTTTAAAAAAAATCATTTTTTCGAGTAAATATCCGATATTTAGATTTTTAAACATACAGTTAATAACGCCGTGAATGCTGATTGAGTAATTTGTCAAAAATGGCGTGATCTATGATGTACCTAATTTTCAGAGGTCATTATCAGTAATTCTGTTAGCCTAAAATCACAGAACGGGGGATTTCATACAGAATTCAAAACTGTGAAGTGTATCAGGGCCTAGAGTGCATGATTAAGCATAAAGTCATCGATATATGTACAAGGGACACATTGTGTTTCATATAGTCATCCATATCTGTACAAGGGCCACGTTGTGTTTCATTTAGTCATCATTATCTGTACAAGGGCCACGTTGTGCTTCATAAAGTCATCGATATCTGTACAAGGGCCACATTGTGTTTCATATAGTCATCACTATCTGTACAAGGGCCACATTGTGGTTCATATAGTCATCATTATCTGTACAAGGGCCACGTTGTGTTTCATTTAGTCATCACTTTCTGTAAAAGGGCCACGTTGTGTTTCATATAGTCATCGATATCTGCACAAGGGCCACGTTGTGCTTCATATTGTCATCACTATCTGTACAAGGGCCACGTTATGCTTCATATAGTCATCACTATCTGTACAAGGACCACGTTGTGCTTCATATAGTTATCAATATCTGTACAAGGCCACGTTGTGCTTCATATAGTCATCACTATCTGTACAAGGGCCACGTTGTGCTTCATATAGTCATCACTATCTGTACAAGGGCCACGTTGTGCTTCATATAGTCATCACTATCTGTACAAGGGCCACGTTGTGCTTCATATAGTCATCACTATCTGTACAAAGGCCACGTTGTGCTTCATATAGTCATCACTATCTGTACAAGGGCCACGTTGTGCTTCATATAGTCATCGATATCTGCACAAGGGCCACGTTGTGCTTTCATATAGTCATCACTATCTGTACAAGGGCCACGTTGTGCTTCATATAGTCATCACTATCTGTACAAGGGCCACGTTGTGCTTCATATAGTCATCACTATCTGTACAAGGGCCACGTTGTGCTTCATATAGTCATCACTATCTGTACAAAGGCCACGTTGTGCTTCATATAGTCATCACTATCTGTACAAGGGCCACGTTGTGCTTCATATAGTCATCACTATCTGTACAAGGGCCACGTTGTGCTTCATATAGTCATCACTATCTGTACAAAGGCCACGTTGTGCTTCATATAGTCATCACTATCTGTACAAGGGCCACGTTGTGCTTCATATAGTCATCGATATCTGCACAAGGGCCACGTTGTGCTTTCATATAGTCATCATTATCTGTACAAGGGCCACATTGTGTTTCACACAGTCATCACTATCTGTACAAGGGCCACGTTGTGTTTCATATAGTCATCACTATCTGTACAAGGGCCACGTTGTGCTTCATATAGTCATCGATATCTGCACAAGGGCCACGTTGTGCTTTCATATAGTCATCACTATCTGTACAAGGGCCACGTTGTGCTTCATATAGTCATCACTATCTGTACAAGGGCCACGTTGTGCTTCATATAGTCATCACTATCTGTACAAGGGCCACGTTGTGCTTCATATAGTCATCACTATCTGTACAAAGGCCACGTTGTGCTTCATATAGTCATCACTATCTGTACAAGGGCCACGTTGTGCTTCATATAGTCATCGATATCTGCACAAAGGCCACGTTGTGCTTTCATATAGTCATCACTATCTGTACAAAGGCCACGTTGTGCTTCATATAGTCATCACTATCTGTACAAGGGCCACGTTGTGCTTCATATAGTCATCACTATCTGTACAAAGGCCACGTTGTGCTTCATATAGTCATCACTATCTGTACAAGGGCCACGTTGTGGTTCATATAGTCATCGATATCTGCACAAAGGCCACGTTGTGCTTTCATATAGTCATCATTATCCGTACAAGGGCCACATTGTGTTTCACACAGTCATCGCTATCTGTACAAGGGCCACGTTGTGCTTCATATAGTCATCACTATCTGTACAAGGGCCATGTTGTGCTTCATATAGTCATCACTATCTGTACAAGGGCCACGTTGTGCTTCATATAGTCATCGATATCTGCACAAGGGCCACGTTGTGCTTTCATATAGTCATCATTATCCGTACAAGGGCCACGTTGTGTTTCACACAGTCATCGCTATCTGTACAAGGGCCACGTTGTGCTTCATATAGTCATCACTATCTGTACAAGGGCCATGTTGTGCTTCATATAGTCATCACTATCTGTACAAGGGCCACGTTGTGCTTCATATAGTCATCACTATCTGTACAAGGGTCACGTTGTGCTTCATATAGTTATCGCTATCTGTACAAGGGCCACGTTGTGCTTCATATAGTCATCCCTATCTGTACAAGGGCCACGTTGTGCTTCATATAGTTATCGCTATCTGTACAAGGGCCACGTTGTGCTTCATATAGTTATCGTTATCTGCACAGGGGCCTGCACCATGAGCCAGGTTAGGCTAAATATGCTCATCCTGTCATGATCAAGGTCTACACAAAACAATGTTTCACCGCCTCCGTGGTCTAATGGTAGAGCTACGCCCGGAGAGCGGAATGTCGGGGGTTCGATGCGTCATACCAAACGAAGTTATAAAATAGAACTTGTTGTTACCCTGTCTGGCGCTCGGTATGAAGGAGCTAAACAAGGACTGTCAATATAATGTGTTTGAGTAGGGTATTCATGTTAAACTGCGACATAGCATCTCAGTGCATGATATTAAAATATTTACCACCGCGGTGATGCGGCCGTCAAATCGGCTGTTTCAACCAGACGGGGTTTATTGTGATTTGATACGTCTGATTGACCAATCAAAATTGAGTATTTTCCAAATTTATGGCTGAATCATCAATATCTTCAGAAAGACCATGATATGCAACACATGATCACAGCATCATGTAGAGCTTCATACCATCATCAAGTCAGCACATAGAAACATCAAGCTTCATGTAGCCGATAATTAAGAAACTAACAACGAGTGGGTTGTCATTTTTCATCTTTCAATAATATTGTAGGATAAACAACGACCACGAGTCTCTTATATCTTATATGTGATGTCAGAAGTATGTACCGCCTCTTTAAGGATGTTAATAAAATGTACAAGCTTTAAACATATTTACCCGTATTTAAATAATGATGACTCCCTGAATACAACCCGACCTCGGCAGTGTCGAACAAGTCCCTTTTATGAACAGGAGCTTAAATTGGGTGTTTGTAGGATATTCTGAAAATTTTCACATTGATTATCTGTACACAATCGGCCATAGCGTTTATTTGCTTTGCCCAGATACATCTATGCGGAACAACTTTCATATAAAGATAACGTCGTCCAATTTACGACGTCATCAAGTTGCAAGCGCATATTCGAATCTTGAGAAATGACGTCATGACAGAACAATGTTTTGTCGTGAAATAAACAACGCTTCGTTCTCCATTTTTCTTTGCGATTTATCGCGTAGTTATGTAATAAAGCCGGATAAAGGTAAATGTAATGCTAAAAATAGAAATAAAGATCTGCGCCAGGTGATACTTAATACAATCATTAAAATCTGTGCAACTGCTATGAACTTCTGCGTAAGTATTGTATTCAATTTCCTGAAACCACGGTAAAATGTCCTATGCCACGCAGTGCAATCCAGCTAGATCCCACCTCCATCAACGAAACCGTAAATCAAAAATAAAAACGCATTTCATGATCCATGGTATTTTTATTGCGACTACAGTACAATATCGAGTATCAACTGATCCGTTGCTGCTAAAAGTATATGTTGGTTTAATATTGTATTATTATTAATATTTTATAAGAAGAAAAAGTTTATGTTTCGTTATGTTCAACGTTAGAACTTAATCAATGGCGTCTTGTACATAAATAAGAAGCGCCAACGCCAGGGAAAAATCAAGTATCTGCCGGAACAGATTCCCTTGGGCGTAAAAGTACAAATAGTGGTGACAATTATATGAATTGATCACTGACAACGAGTGATGACACCAGGTGTTCGCGAAAGGTAAACATGTCCTGCACGGCGTGGATCGTAGAGATATTGATGTTTCCTATGGTGTTGGTCACGATATGGCTGAAATACTGCCGATGTGACGTTAAATCTTAACTCACTCACTATGGTGTTGCCTAATTTCTTTACCTAAGTAACACAACGTTAACATTATCAAATGATATAAATCAAATGATAAAACAATATTATTATTATTTAGAACATGTTACAAACACCTGAATATGAACATTAATGTAAACATACTCCAACAGGTCATGGTTGGAATCTCGTGTATGCCTTGTTAGTGAACCCTATATTACCTTAGGCGTACAAATGGCGTCTAGACGTTTTAAGCTCGATGTCGGATGCTAATGTACAGAGAAACCCCGTTATTGTGCACGTTGAAGTTATCAGTTAAATCATCTCCCACTACAAATCAACGAGTCTTAGGTTTATAGTTGTTCCCCTTTACACAACTGTCAAAGTTTCAGAGGTTTCAGAAAGTGTGGTTTTCGGAGTAACCCGGTTTCACTGTATATTATGTGTGATGAACACTTCATACATTGAATTCTGCTCTATACAGGTTTCGAAGTATTCTGTGTGTTAGCAGTATTATTTACCTACAAGAATATAATAAGTTTGTTGATGTGAAGACAGCAATGTTGCTGGTTATGTACGAACAGGCGGGGCTGCCGCCGTGGTTGTTGTAGTTGGAGGGGACGTCGTGAAGTCTACTACTATCCTGTCCTCCGTTGTCGTCGTTTCCTCGGAACGCTTCACACGTTTAAGGACTTGACTCAGGACGTCCCGACGTTTACGGTTGAGTACACAGGAGATGGCCCCATTGTTGACTTGAATACTTGTACACGAGGCATCAACAGGCGTGCAGGCGCTTCCGCTGAAAGTACATTCAAACGTCAAAGCCAGAGAAAAACCAGTCTCGATTATCTGCCGAAGCGGATTCCATTGACCGAAAAAGGGAAAATGGTGATTAAAATTATATGAATGGATAACTGAAAATAGTGATGACACCAGGCGTTCGCGAAAAGGGTAAACATGTCCTGCATTGCCGATGGCGTCCCCATCGAAATAAATTGCATAAAAAATAGGTGTTTGTTTGTTATATTATATTACTGAACCAACAGTGAGTAAGTCGGGTTAACGCCACACTGACCAATATTTTAAGATATCACAACATGTTATAATCAGCATACGTTAAGTCGGTATCTTTCGTCCAAGTTCAAAATGTGTTCTATAATCTGTTGTCCATATGTTGGCAATAGCAAGATCACTTGATGCATTCATGTATGTGGTCAGGTTGTCACTGACTATTTGCGTGGTCAGTCCGTTCATGACATGCATGGCACACTGACAGTCTGTGTGGTCACTTAGTTCATGACACACATGCATGGCACACTGCTGTCTGTGTGGTCAGTTAATTCATGCCACGCATGACACACTGACTGTCTGTATGGTCAGTTAGTTCATGACACGCATGGCACACAGACTATCTGTGTGGCCAGTTAATTCATGATATGCATGACACACTGACTGTCTGTGTGGTCAGTTAATTCATGTTATGCATGGCACACTGACTGTCTGTGTGGCCAGTTAATTCATGATATGCATGACACACTGACTGTCTGTGTGGTCAGTTAATTCATGTTATGCATGGCACACTGACTGTCTGTGTGGCCAGTTAATTCATGTTATGCATGGCACATTGACTGTCTGTGTGGCCAGTTAATTCATGTTATGCAACCCTAGTGAGACTATTATACATTAACATAGACCTGCAATAGCTGTTTGATCGTTTAATACAAGTGTGTCCTGCGAAGTTCATGTTTGACTGGTCGGTGATAGTCTGTGAAGTGATGTATGTGAAGTGATGTATGTGAGGAGATGTATGTGAAGTGATGAATGTGAAGTGATGTTTGTGAAGTGATATATTTGAAGTGATGTATGTGAAGTGATTTATGTGAAGTGATGTATTTGAAGTGATGTATGTGAAGTGATGTATGTGAGGAGATGTATGTGAAGTGATGCATGTGAAGTGATGTATGTGAAGTGATATATTTGAAGTGATGTATGTGAAGTGATGTAGTGAAGTGATGTATGTGAAGTGATGTATGTGAAGTGATATATTTGAAGTGATGTATGTGAAGTGATGTATGTGAAGTGATGTATTTGAAGTGATGTATGTGAAGTGATGTACGTGAGAAGGTTTATGTGTGGTGATGTATTTGAAGTGATGTATGTGAAGTGATGTACGTGAGAAGATTTATGTGTAGTGATGTTTGTGAAGTGATGTATGTGAAGTGATGTATGTGAAGTGATGTATGTGAAGTGGTGTACGTGAGTAGATGTATGTGAAGTGATGTATGTGAAGTGATGTATTTAAAGTGATGTATGTGAAGTGATGTATGTGAGGAGATGTATGTAAAGTGATGTATGTGAAGTGATGTATGTGAAGTGATGTATGTGAGGAGATGTATGTGAAGTGATGTATGTGAAGTGATGTTTGTGAAGTGATGTATTTGAAGTGATGTATTTGAAGTGATGTATGTGAAGTGATGTATGTGAAGTGATGTATTTGAAGTGATGTATGTGAAGTGATGTATGTGAGGAGATGTATGTGACGTGATGTATGTGAAGTGATGTATGTGAAGTGATGTATTTGAAGTGATGTATGTGAAGTGATGTATGTGAGGAGATGTATGTGAAGTGATGTATGTGAAGTGATGTATGTGAAGTGATGTATTTGAAGTGATGTATGTGAAGTGATGTACGTGAGGAGATGTATGTGAAATGATGTATTTGAAGTGATGTATGTGAAGTGATGTATGTGATGTGATGTATGTGAAGTGATGTATTTGAAGTAATGAATGTGAGGTGATGTATGTGAAGTGATGTATGTGAAGTGATGTATGTGAAGTGATGTATGTGAAGTGATGTACGTGAAGTGATGTACGTGAGGAGATATATGTGAAGTGATGTATGTGAAGTGATGTATGTGAAGTGGTGTACGTGAGGAGATGTATGTGAGGAGATGTATGTGAAGTGATGTATGTGAAGTGATGTGTGTGAAGTGATGTATGTGAAGTGATGTATGTGAGGAGATGTATGTGAAGTGATGTATGTGAAGTGATGTATGTGAAGTGATGTATGTGAAGTGATGAATGTGAGGAGATGTATGTGAAGTGATGTATGTGAATCTCAAGCTTAATGTTCACACACACAAACCTCGTGTTATATTCTTAATGTTACGTCATGAATATCCAGAAAGGATAACGTTCAGTAGTTACTGAATTGAACTTTTTAATGATAGTTAAGTACGTACAGGCAACATTCCAAGCTTTGGCCTTTGCATTTACAGGTGACGCTGCAGCTTGTCACCTCAGCATTGTTCGTGATTGTTTGCTGGCTCAGGCTGCAACTTCCCCCAGTTCCTGAAAATGACAAATGAATGACCAAACTACGAAATTGATATTGTTCAGTTTACGTTAACGCCAACCCAACCGATACATTCATTTTATATTCCCGTCTGCGTCCCTCTTCATAAACTGCAGTGCAAATATGTCAAAAGGAGAACCTGCTATTTTTACGTCCCGTCAGAATACGAATCCGTTTAGACCTTCGAGGTTTCTCTGTATTGTATCAACTGAAATTATCTTGAAGCATTTTGTAACGCTGTCAAAAAGTACGTAGACTTAAGCAGTTTGAAATGTGGTTTAATATTGCTGGTGGGATTTAGTTCGTACAGTTATTTCCTTTGCTGGCGAGGACTATTATGCTCATCGATCACTTCAAAATCCCTAATAAAATGTTGAACACGTCGATACATCTATTTCTAGTTTGTAAACTAAATGTTATTGAGTTCACACAATATATCCGCTCACGATGATGACGTCATGAACTCAACCCGTGGGTTATTGGTATATGTGATACCAACTGGATGGGGTTTCAGATGAGGGAGTGTACTTTCGCCGAAAAGTTAACATGTTTGCTTAGCTTAAATTAAGTCTTTCTATTTAATATTGATTTGCTTAAAAGAGTTTCTTGAATTTACTTTTATGATTAGCCACGTAAACTATCAAATCATTGCAACATTTCAAGTGAGCTCTATCATGTTTAATACAGTTGTAACATTTTAGAACAATTTTACTATTATTAATAAACAATAAGTAAAATTGAATTTACTTAGTTGTAACTATGATATGCTTGTAATGATCTTTAAGGGATAATTGCTCGGAAAGGCAAACTCAAAACATGGATATTGGCCAAGACGTTTAACTTATGTTTCAGTTATATTGATGATTTGATATCCTTCATTAATGGTCAAATAGCTAATTTCCTTCCATGATTTAACCCCCTGAACTAGAAATAAAAGAGATAAGTGAAACCACCTCATCAGTTTCATAAACAAACTACAGTAAACTACGGTTATAACGAACACGCTTATAACGAACTGACGGATATAACGAACTCATTTTTTTGGTCCCGACTATTTGCTGTAGTTATGCTGTATATATGCTTATAGCGAACTACGGTTATAACGAACTAAAAGTAGTAGTCCCTCTGTGTTCGTTATAACCGTACTTTACTGTATCCACAACACTGTATGACAAGAGGGGGACTTGAACCTTTCCTTCATGTTGACTAATATTCCAGGAGCTATAGCTTTTGATGTTTACTTTTCACAACCCAGCTGTTCTGAGAATGCTCGTTCAACGAAAATTCAAAAAGCGTCCTTTGATCCTTGCCCATCAGGATCAGAGCATTCAAGACCTTGGTGTTTTGTTGTCTTATTAGTTTTGTTGTCCTTCCATGTACATATATATGCTCTCTGTCTCATAGCATCCATTCACCTGATGAAGTGGTAAGCATATACTCCGAAACGTCGTGTTTCGTCATAATAAAGAAGTTGACATCCATAAATTCTCTTCCTTATGTTTTTCTCTTCTAAATGCCATTCAAAGACTTGACCAATAATCCATTCCGCGTGTACTTGACAAAACACAACCAGCCAGGTTGCACATTGTAGCTTGCGGATTTCTAACTCAACCTTGTGTTGCCGTTCGTACGGGCGAGATATTGCCGCGAATACTTGATTCTTAAATATCAAGATTATTGCATATGAAAAAAAATTTTTTAAAAAGAAAGAAAATTTCATTAATGTCCCACCTGATATATTTATTGCTGTTGACACGGTGCAATCCCCGCTGATCCCTGTGATAAACAGGAGCACTGTGAGCGTCACAATAACGGTTTCCATGGCGATTCTGAAAATACACAGTGAGTATCATTGTACGCTGCTTTTGGCAATATTCCAGTAAGTTTCACCAAGAATTATGACAAAAAAGGCATAAAACCCAGATCGTCATCATGGCTTGTGTACCCTTTACCACTTGGCCAAACACACATTGTGATGGGATAAAGAGGGATGCTTTTGGGTGTGAGGTCAGCGTTGAGTGAGCGTGAGGTCAGTATGAGGCCAGTATTAGGTCAGCGAGCGGTCGGCCTTGGGTCAATGTAGGATCAGTGTGAGGTCAGTATGGGATCAGTGTGGGATCAATGCGGGGTTCAGAGAAGTGTTTTGGATTGCCGTACCCAGCAATTTCTTGTGTACCCTTTACCACTAGGCCAAACACACAATGTGTTGTTTTGGGGTGTAAAGTCAGCGTTGGGTGAGCTTGAGGCAAATGTGAGGTCAGTTTGGGATCAGTGTGGAGTCAGTGTTAAGGCAGTGTGGGGGTCAATGTGAGGTCAGTATGAGGTCTGTGTTGGATCAGTGTGAGGTCAGTATGGGATCAGTGTGGGGTCAGCGTAGGATCAATGAGGGGTCAGTGTGAGGTCAGTATGAGGTCTGTGTAGGATCAATGTGAGGTCAGTGTGAGATCAATGAGGGGTCGGTTCAGAGAAGTGTTTTTCGTTGCCCTACCCATCAATTTCATTACTATAGTATTCATAAACACCATTCTGATATGATTACTAAAATTATTAAGAAATGGATACTTCAACTGCATTATTATCATTAATATTGTACGACTGAGATACAATTAATTGCACCATGTTGCATTTATTTATCATGTGCCATCTGAATGAACTAGTACTACACGTGCAATTGCCACCTCCCAATTTTCTAGTTCTATCAATAGAGTGATTATGTGTGAGTGAATGAGTGAGTATGGTTTTACGCCGCCGTTTTACGCCACCATCCCTTATAAAGGTATGAAACATAGGAAACATTGATTGAGGCAAAATTAAGCAACCCACAAAATCAGAGATTTGAATATGCCATGTGCCATATTTTAGCGGTATCATATTTTAATTGACTTTCCCTTAAGGCTTGAGATGTTATGATTCCTGTCCTTGTTTATAATACACGTTTATGATATGTGTGCTTCGTACTGAATTTTAGTTAATAAACCCTCAGAATATTGAAACCAAGAACATATATATAACCTACAAGTGTGAGTATCACAATATATTACGATATTTAATGACTAAACTATTACGGTAGTTTCACAAATGGCACACTGTGAAGGGAAAGCTTTTTACTGGATTATATGGTTAAATCAATCGTGTATTCAAACTAACACAAGTGGGCAATTTCTATGAAGACAGAACGTCTAAAGCAATTTGGGGTACTAACTCAAGGCATAATACTTGTACAGGTATCGATGTTTCCGCACAATAGGATCAATGCTACAAGTTCATATTGATATCTAGGTTTGTTGTCTAATTATTCTACACAGCGATACAGCAAGTTTCAAGTCAGAGGTTGTCGATGTACCAAGTGCACGGTGTCAATAACCAAGCGAAAGTACACACAGAGTAGAAATGGGAGATATACAGCGTATGTTTTAGAGAAAACATTTATCTTTTCGGCTGAAATAGTAGGAAATATTTTCAAGTCTTTGAAAGGCATTTAGAAGTGATACACATAAGGAAGAGAATTTATAAATGACATCTTCATTATTATGAGCAACACAACGTATGTTTTCTCCTTCATCAGGTGATGAACGTTGTGTTCCTCATAAGAAAGAAGTTGACATCCATATACAGTAAACTACGGTTATAACGAACACGCTTATAACGAACTTACGGATATAACGAACTTACTTTTTGGGTCCCGACTATTTGCTGTAGTTATGCTGTATATATGCTTATAACGAACTACGGTAATAACGAACTAAAATTAGTAGTCCCTTTGAGTTCGTTATAACCGTACTTTACTGTATTCTCTTTCTTAGGAAATATATTTACAGCATATTTAAACCGTTTTGCTCAATGCCATGTGAATATCTTACACTCAAATGCTTACAGCTTTTATTGAATTGATATAACCATTTTGCGTACAGCATATATTGTTTGAGTACGTCATTACAGTCATATGTAAGCAAAATGGTGATATCAATTCAATATATGATGTAAGCAAAATGAGTGTGGGAAATAAACATAGTATTGGAAAAGACAGTTTAAAATATGCTCAAATATTTTTCCTGTTATTTTAGTCGAAAGGCTAAATGTGTTTGATCATCACTGACCAGATATTGTAAGTTGTACACTTGTCTTTTTGACTTTCTTATCGCCAATGATGTGGGAAATAATCTCAAATGTGAACTTTGCTAGGGGATGAGAATAAATATATATAACACTATAAACGACTATCTGCAACTACTATTGTTCCATAAAAAGGTAAATTTTCGAGTTATTGTCATTATGAAACAAAGGGACATTCCGTGTCGAAATATCGGTTTGGAGTGAACGGTATGAGAAAGTAGCACATTTATTGTCGTTCGAAACGTAATTTCATCGTTTGACATTCAATGTAATATATCCTTGCAACAAGATGAGACAAACGCTGTTCTTCGGAACTATAACTAAAAAATAATTCTGATTGATGAAGACATTGGTTGAAATTGTCAACTATGTCGTTCTAGAAAGAAACCATGTTTTACACTATGCACTTTTTCTCCGTCTATTGAAAATAAGGTCATTTGGAAATATGTTTTTGCATCATACTGACCATTATGGTAAACACAATTGTGTCCTTTTCTTAGCTTATGTGATTAAACATTGTCAAGACCCGGGTTCGATTCCCAACATTGAAATAGTTTGTGAAACTAAGTCATGTTGTCACTCGCACCCACCTAGTCAGATACTCACGGCAGTTATATTTTTGAACAATAAAATAGAACCTAATAATTCCTGTGTCGTTTATTTTGACTGTCTGGGTTTAGTTGCGACCTGTGTACAATTTTAGCAGTGGGAATACAATTTAACACAAGTGACACAACTGATTTACGTAAATTAATCATACTACGACAGCAGAATGAGTGAACAGCAGGATGGGTGAACAACAGAATGAATGGACAGCAGGATGAGTGAACAGCAGGATGAGTGAACAGCAGGATGAGTGAACAGCAGAATGAGTGAACAGCAGGATGAGTGAACAGCAGGATGAGTGAACAGCAGGATGAGTGAACAGCAAAATGAGTGAACAGCAGGATGGGTGAACAGCAGGATGAGTGAACCACAGAATGAGTGAACAGCAGGATGAGTGAACAGCAGGATGGGTGAACAGCAGAATGTGTGAACAGCAGAATGAGTGAACAGCAGAATGAGTGAACAACAGAATAAGTAAAAAGCAAAATAAAGGACAAATTGAGTTGTGTTTAATGCCGATGCAAACAGTATCTCTGTTATATTATGCCATCAGGTTAATCTAAGAGGAAAGCCATTATGGACGCAAGTCATAGAAACGGCCCATGTTGTGGAGCGAACGCATTAAGGATCATAATCTGCTAAATATAGAATTCGAATCCACGACCAGTGGATCCTGGAACGACCAAGGGACTCAACTCTGCAACATTAACATTATTACAGTTATATCGCGGCGTGTCAGCTTAATGTGGGAGGAAAGCCCGAAGTGATGCAGGTCTCAGACGTTTACCACTTCGGTGAAACCCACGAGCAAGGGTATGGTGCTGACAACCTTAGAAACATAATCGGGGCGAACCGGGATTCGAACTCACAATCATAGGTTTCTGGCGTGTCCAAGGGACGCGACTCTGCACAGCGAATCGCGGCGCCTTAGACGACTTGGCCACCCGTGCCCCGCCGTCATGACGAGTTGTGATGATAATGTATTGGGAAAACACCAGTTCACACTTACCTTTACCTGTGGCTGTGATGACTGTAACGCCAGCGTGACAATGTTTAAATACTCCCGTACTTCTACCAGCTGCTCCCAGTCTAACCCACTCAGCACACGTCAACACCCACAATAATCAAGTCCCTTTGTAGTGTTCCAATATTATGATTGATATTTGAAGAGGTTGTAGTGGCTTTGCTTATTGAGATTTACCTATACAGCATCAGCTCTAATGTTTGCTTTGAACACAATACAGGTATTTGTTAGAACATAAAAGCTATAGGTTAGGTCTGCATTTGTGACTTTGAACTACCTGAAGGAGATGTTGAGTTACAGATATATTGCTGAATCTTAATACATTTCCCCAGTTCAATATACATTGATCTCGGAAATAGGTAAGGCAACACGTCTATATGTCACCACGTGGTCGATACGCAATTAGGACCTCGTCAATATTTTCCAATGGTGTAGGCAACAGAAAAAAAATGTTGTTCAATATCCTGACTGTTGGCAAAGGAGGCTTGCCATTGGTAGGCGAGTAGAAATCTATGAACTATATCCTGGGGATATGTTGGCAAACGGTTGGAGGGTTGTGAAACCATCCATAATGCAAACAATGCAGGCAGAACAATATGCAACTCTAACCACAAACCAGCACAGGCAATGCAACACCCTCTAACTACAACAAACCATTCCTAGAGTTTTGATTATGTGAACAAGTGAATCTCCTTTAAGTTTTTTTCCCATGTAAATAAATTAATTATCTGATGCTGTTGAATCCTCTTTTCTCACATGGTATACAACTTTACCCTGACTTAGTCCAAATGTATCTCCTATTCTTATAGGATACCCATCTCTGACACTGTATATGATTTACAGAGACGTATTAAAACACCGGAAGAGTTTTGTATTATTATTTCACTTTATTGCGACTTCTAAAAATGGCGTCTTTAATATCTAAATACGAAAAGTTGTATTTCAGAGGTTCGAAAATTGGAAATGTTCAATGTTACAAATATCCCTTTTCGAAGACACTGACACGGTCGAATCATATTGTAAATGCTTTAATTCAAGACAGAAAAGTAGTCTATTGTGTAGTTTTGAGTCAATGTATGCAACAAAACCTATCCAATTACATATTGTAACGGTAGTCAGTCAGATATGGTAATAAGCTTAAGATATTTTTAAAGCGCTTTATTGTTTCTTCTCATTAGTGGTGAGTATTGTTTTTAGCTCCCTTGGGGTATGGAGCGAGTACCATGCTTTCCGGTGAGAAAGGCCTTTGTTTATCTGCATTCCGTCGAGATGTTTACGGATTTCAGGGAATTGGACAACTGTGAGTTCTCTATATTAGAAATTCTGTAAAATAAACATCATGAATACTCAGTTTCTCCGTTCAGAGTTTTCGAAAACATTATACATATGCTTTTTACAACTTTGATGTAAAAGTCAGCCAAATTCTCCTCTGAAGTGTGAGGTGTTGATATGTATAATACCATGGACAATGTCCATGTTTCTGCGTACAAATGCTTGTTACGCCTCAGATTTATAGCTGCCTTCTATTTATACATACAAACGTGTTTTAGTGTATTGGTGAGGTATTTTACGAAAATAGATCTGTGTAAAAGTGTTATAATGTGACGTTCCATGCAGCAGAAAATGGTAACACTAATTGGGCGTCCAAAATATTCTCTTTTCGGTTGTATTTCCCATATATGGGAGCAACGCTGTGTACCTTTCTGGGGCGGTCGGGTGGTTAAAGCGTTCACTCGTCACTCCGAAGACCCGGGTTCGATTCCCGACATGGGTAAAATGTGTGAAGCCCATTTGTGGTGTCCCTCGCCGTGATATTGCTGGAATATTGCTGCAATATTGCCAAAAGCGGCGTAAAACTATACTCACTCACTCACTTCAACTTTTCGTCTCAGAATTTGTATTTACCCTTTATAAACTGCTCGGCATGGTACCTTAGAATTATAACTGTTTTACAATGTAGTGTAGCTCTGGTTCGTTTCAGATGGGGTTCAAACCAATTAAAAAAGAAACAGGAAGATATATTTGACCAACAATAAAGCTGCGATAGTGTGAATTATGTAACTGTAACACGGTTGAAGATGATTTTCACTTTGTTTTGAAACTGCCTATAATTGCCTATAAAGTCATTAGGACAAAATATATTTGTCAAAGATGTTATTTTGACCCATCTCGTAAATGTATTGACCTGACGTCTTTCTTTGTAGTATATACAATTACAGTAAACTACGGTTATAACGAACTGAAAGGGACCACTAAGTTTAGTTCGTTATAACCGTAGTTCGTTATATGCATATACACAGCATATATACAGCTAATGGCCTGGAATAAAAATAACTTCGTTATATCCGTCAGTTCGTTATAAGCATGTTCGTTATGAACGTAGTTTACTGTAGTAATCTTGCAATGTACGTATATCTTGTCATTATGATATATAACTATTTTGCTAAATCCTCATAAAGTCATGTACTGTCTTATAAAAGTTATCTCGAATACAGAAGGAAAAAAGACGACCAATCTACCTGCATGTGCTACTCAAACTACAAACTAGCACAATGCAACACACCACAACTAAAATCAAACCATCCCTGGAGGACAAAGATATCTCCACTAACTTCTAAACTAAAATCAATACATGCGAACTTCTAATTATTGTCTGAAACTAATGCTGGAGGCAGAATGATATTTCTCCTCACTTAACTTATTAACTAAACCAACATATGTGATCTTCTTCTTCTTCTTCTTCTTCTTCTTCTTCTTCTTCTTCTTATGATGATGATGATGAATGCCATCTGTTATTCAAACTATTGCCAAAGGCAGAATAATCTCTCTGATAAATTAAATATTCATTAACGTGAAATAATTATGCTATTCTTCTAGATCTCAAACTACCAATAAAGATCGCGTGGTATCTATAATAAACTTATAAGTACTGATATCAAAATGTATGATATTTTTCAAACTATTGCCAACGCCAGAATGATCTATCTAGTATATTAACATAGTAGTCTATATTTCTCTGATTGAACACAATCAGTCATCATCCAACCAAGGAGGTTGTAATCGTCTAGTTTGCTTAGATGCTGTATCCAAAGCTCCTCCATTTAGAGCACTGTGAATACTAATTTCAGATCGTTTGTCAACGGCTTTGTTGATGTTTTCATCTAATGTCACTGAGAATTGTTCATACATAATCTGACTTGTAGTATTTCGAAGACATTGTAAATATGACCCAAAGTAGACATATAGAATATATCTAGGAACAATCTCCACTATACCATCTGTGGTTTCTGGTGATTCCATTACTTGATTGTATGTTACATGTTTTGTTGTAAACTAGACGGGCATATGATCTGAATCTGTACGCTGGATAACTTACATATCAATGACATTATTGGAAAATATCACTGGAAACTATGAAATAATCTACAGTACTGCATCCTGTATGTGACACAAAAGTGAAGTAGTTCGGGATATCCAATGGGGCTCTGCCATTTACAATATGTCTGCCGATTAATTTACACAAGTCCAGTTAAGCTCCTCCATGGTGATTTGTTTTGTAGTCACGAACACTTCTTATAACTAAAAAATAATGCATAATCATTTGGTAAATACTTCACATCATCATCAAGGATAAAATCTCGGTCACACCAAGATCACCACATAAGATGAAAACGTCTTGTGGTATGACGCGGTCGGGGATCAAACCCAGGACCTTCCGCTCTCCGGGCGGACGCTCTACCACGAAGACACTACGCCACGGAGGCGGTCTTCCGCCGAAACAGACTCCATCTGGCTCCAAGGGCAAAACAGCAGTGAAAATCAAATCAATGGACCACTCAGTATCAGTGATGCCACCGTGTGTTCGAAAAAGAAGTCTGCAGAATATATTTGTTATCAGATGAGTGGTATCTTTGTAGTTCTCGCTCATTGAATGTGGCTGGCTTGCACTTGTGTTTACAGAGTTACCATTGCCCGGTGATGTGATAATAGACTGGATGTCATAATCTCCATGTGCAATGTTTGATGAGTCGCCGGTCGGGGGTAGGGTTGGGGGGGGGGGGGGGGAGTATGGTTTTAGGCCGCTTTTAGCAATATTCCAGCTATATCACGGCGGTGGACACCAGAAATTGGCTTCACATATTGTACCCATGTCGGGAATCAAACCCGGGTCTTCGGCGTGACGAGCGGACGCTTTAACCACAAGGCTATCCGACCGCCCCCAAACAAAAAAAGGTGATTACGTCATATGTGCCTAATTCCGAGGTCACCGACTGCCTCTTTATAAATATAAACACACATCTGCCATATTTTATCGTATTCTTCGTCATCGAAATCCATTGTCTGATTGATTTTGGATAATTTAGATAGTTAGTATAATACGGAAACAGTGGGCGAAGATGTTCAATATTAAAACCTTCGCCTCTGACGCCATGCCCTGCGGGCGTGTAACAGAAGCCTTATGTCGGTCACAGTGACTGCGTATGCTTCAGTGCATGTTAAATACGTCAGACTGGAACGGATGGACTATTGCTCGATTTAAAGGGAAGGCTGACCCTTGGGAAGTTGAACTTCACTCATGTCATATGTGGACAGTTGTTAGTAGGGTGTAGGGTGAAGGCTGAGGGTGGGGTGGTTGACTTGTGGTGTGGTGTGGAGCGCAGTATTGAACTGGGCGGAGAGGTTCAGTGTGGGTCGATGTGGGGAAGTTTGGGTGATATTGTGGTACTGGGGTGGGGAAGAGGTGGATACGTTCAGTGTGGGGTGGGGTGAAGTGTTCCGTGCAGGGTGGAATGGAGAGGTTCAGTGTTGGGTGGGGTGAAGAGGATCAGTGTGGGTTGTGTGGAGTGGTTCAGTGTTGGGTGGTGGAGAGATTCAGTGTTTAGTGGGGTGCAGAGGTTCAGTGTGGGGTTGGGGTAGAGAGGTTCAGTGTGGGGTGGGGTGGAGAGGTTCAGTGTTGGGTTGTGTGGAGTGATTCAGTGTTTAGTGGGGTGCAGTGGCTAGTGTGGGGTTGGGGTAGAGAGGTTCAGTGTGGGGTGGGTGGAGAGGTTCAGTGTTTAGTGGGATGCAGTGGTTCAGTGTGGGGTTGGGGTAGAGAGGTTCAGTGTGGGGTTGGGGTAGAGAGGTATAGTGTGGGG